CGCTTGCAGTATGTTTTTGGAAACATAAGGAACGTATCGTTCATATCAGCCAAAAATAATTTTCAAAAATCACAAAACAAGGTTAAACTAGAAAAGTACATTTCCTGAAGAAAATGTGGTGTGCTTGATAGCTTGTTTTAAAGTATATATGGTTGTGAAATAAGTTATAGTAGTGGTAGTGACTGTAGTAGTAATGGTAGTGACTGGTTATAGTTGAAAAAGTAGGTAGATGGAAAGATTTATTGATTGAGATAAGATAGGATAGCCTGAACATGTGAAAGTTGGTTTGGTGTCCCTAGCATGAACGGTTCAAGAATTACTGTTGGTGAGGTATTTTATGCAAATGTATGCACATTTCTTTAGTTATAGTTGATAAAAGTGTTAAAGAATTTGATAGCCTGAATGTTTTAAAGTTGGTTTTGTAGCTTAATTGGCCAAGGAGCAGGACCATTTTTAATTGCTACCTCTGTATTCCTATGGTTCACATTCAAACCCATGTTAATTTATGTACATTTTAAATGATTAAAGTTCAAAATTATATATAGTAACAAAAGTATTTTGACAAGCAATCTAAGTAGGGTCGGTCTAAACATCTCAGCGTTGGTTTGTGAAATTTTTGATGTTTTAAACCATTCTAGTTTTGGTTATTTTTTGCCATTGAAATGCATTGGTATCCATAGCAATGGCTCTGTTTGGGCTCCTCAATGATGCAAAATGAGAGAGCTGTTAGCTGATGTTAGCTAGCTGCTTTTCGTCACTGTAAACTCTTACAAACCGCTTAAACTTTTTATTGGTAGAAGAAAATTCTGTTGAGTCCAGATTTGAACAGCAGAGAAGTAGAGGAAGATGCCATTCGCTCTACGTTTCTGTCTGACTAGTTGGGGGAGTGGACAAAACGGCAGTTGTTTGGAAAAAGTTGGGAGGAAAATGGTTAACACAGTTACTAAAACAGCTGTATCGTTAGAGCCATAGCGGATATTTTTGAATAGCAGAGTAGTAGACAAAGATGTCATACCCTCTAACTTTTTGACTAAGTTGTTGGCAAAGTGGTTAAAGTATGTCAAAAGTTACATTGTTTACAGTGAATGTTGGAAATGATGATGTCATAATGGGGAGCTTTAGAATGTTGAAAAAAGGCCCATTAAGTGAATGAAGATGGACAAAATGATAAAAAAGTTAAAGAAATATATAAAAGATATCAAAAAGTTGTATGCAAGCAACCTAATCCAGATCAGTCTACACCTTATAAAGTTTGAAAGGTGTTTCAATCTTAAACATTGTAAGAGGAGTAGCGTGCATAAGAATAATGATAATAAGAAGAAGAAGTATGGAAGATTTAAAGTCGGGACTTTTGCTTCGCAAGTCCCACCTAATAATAATATGAATATGTAAGAAATATACATATATACTCGGACCAAAGCGCTGTTATAGATCACTATATAATCGGATCCGTTTGCCATTATCTTTAATAAAAAGTAGGCCTATGGCATACCCTGTCATACCCCCTCAATTCAAGTATTGGTTTAATTTTATCAGACCTTCACTGACGGAGGTAGGCTATTTAAAGAGTGCATGGTGGGTGGACGCATTGACCGACAAATCTATGGATATAGCAGCCTATAGCCTAATTTCGTCTGTCAAACAGGTAGGCCTACCTATTATTTCTTAAATAGGCTGCAACACAAAGCCCTCTTGTTGTTAGTAAAGTCTAATTCAAATGAAGACTGTTGAAATGAATTATACCTCGAATTTGCCTACTTTCAGCACCATGAGCTGTCCATGTCCAATTGATTGCGCTCAGGGGTGTCGCCATACCCTAGCTCAACACCAACAATTTAAAATAGGTAGTAAAATCATTCCAACCCCGATTAAAAGGCAAATGCAGTTTAGCGGTATCAGAGGGTGACTTTAGGACCATGCAAACGCCTGGGAGCAGGAGGGAAGGCTGTTTGTATGGCTGGCTGGTTTATGGAGAGCAGAGACCTGTATATAATGACGAGATGCGCATGTCTCCACCCTAACAATGGGAGTCGTCTCAAAGGCGAGAAGGCAGGTGACAATCTAAGGTACAAAATAAGCCCATAGAAATGCATTGGCCTTATTTTGGACAGATTTTGGCGAAAGAGCAGCCTCTCGCTTCACTTCTTCCTCTCTGTGTAGAGAGCGTTGACGCAGCTGCAGGGACCAGCGGGACTTTTTCTCAACACATTGCAGAGGTAAAGATGGCTGTAGTAGATGGCTTTGGCTAGGTAACTGCTGTTTGACTTGACATGAAACTAAACTATTTTAATCCCGGTGCTGAGCTAGTGTGTAGCAGACAGCTAATTCTTGCATGACGTGTTTGTAGAATGTTAAATCCCCTATTAACTGAAGCTACGGCAACACAGTGATTTCTGGAGTCAACTTTTCTTGTTTTTGCTGTTCTCCTAATTGCATTTTAGAGTTTTTAAATTGTGTAGAAATGCAGTAAATGAGCTTTTAAAAAATTATCTGCACCTTTGCTCTGTGCTTCTCCGAGCATGCATTTCGTAGTCTATAGGCTATGGATCATTTGATTGAGACTATACTAAATAGCCTATAGGCACAGTTGATATTGCACGCCCAGTGGAGAATCAGAGATGAGGGGCGGAATAAGCAACTAATTCTAAAACACTGAGAAATGTAAATGTTTAATCAATTACATGACCCTCCCCTGGACTCGAGCCCAAAAAAATACTAAACCCTCCCCTTGACTGATATTGAAAAAACATTACCCTCCCCCATTTTCCTCCAGGTACTTATTATGTAGATTTCGATCCATCCCTAAGTGTAAACAAGCATAGCAGGTTGTAGCGCGCCGAACTATCTCTGCTTGCTATTTTTTAGGTTCTTGGTTGCAATGAATGAACACCCTACTTTCACCATAATTTGGATACTTTATGAATATCGAAATGCAAAGTTGAAAAACATTGAAAAAAGACTTAAGGTAAGTTTGCACGGAGGCTGCAGCCAAGACACACAAAATAACAAGGAAGTCTCTCTGCTCCCAACTCAAAACCATTTCGTAATTGATCGGTTCTAAAGTTGATAGAGTCATACGTTTGAAGTGGATCAAAGTGCATATTCCAATGCCAATAACATAATGACTTGCTGGTCACTACAGCGTCAAATTGCAGTTCAACTGGGGCAATCGACTTAAATTCAGGTACGACCTGGATAGATAATAACCGAGAGATCTGATTGGAAAAGCGTTAAGAAGGCTATTATTTGCTATGTTTATAAGCATTACATTTAGTTTTTGACACTGCTTTGAACAATTTCATGGACAAAAATGATTCACCCCAGATGGGACTCGAACCCACAATCCCTGGCTTAGGAGGCCAGTGCCTTATCCATTAGGCCACTGGGGCTAGATGTGAAATGAGCGGGGTTAGGCCTTTATCAAATGAATATACGTGATAACCAGGGGAAATATAGTAACAATGACGGGAACGACTTTTTTGTATCGGATGATAAATCTGTTTACAATCGAGTAATGACAAACTATTTATCGGGGAAAACAGTTCGATCGAAGCGACGCTATCACCATGGTGATGCATTCATGTTGATGGACTATCCCACTTAAACTCAACAGCAGGGGTATTGATCAAGTATTTACATTATTACAAGGATGAAACCTAGACTTTGTCAAACTATATAGAATCGAATTGTATGTAGTTACAGTAAACATTCATAGCAATGCAACATTATTTAATATAATCCAACTCAAATGCTGTGCTGCCATTTGTAGATTATTCCATTATTACCCGTTTGGGGCAAATTGGATATTGCGCAGTAAACTGCATGTGAGTAAAAAAAACTGGTAAACATCAACTAGCTGGGCGAAAAAGAGAAGGGAAGCCTCTGCTAACCAATGATAAGGAATTAGGTAAATATTAGCTCTGTACAGTAGCTAATTAAGCTAGCTATTTCATAGCAGATTAAGCTAGATACTTCATCAAAACAACAAAGATAGTTGCGTAACGTTAGCTGTTGGTAGCCTTGGCTAGCTGGCAATGCTATTAGTAAGCTAGGCCGTTACGTAGCTAGTTAACGTTACTTGACTATTTCCAAAGCTGCAAAATAAGAAGTTATGAATCCAACATTAATCATCCACAATCTCTATTTGTCTCACTTCAGAGCTATCCATAAAGTCGCTGATGAAGAAGATGCCGCTTTTTGGCAACACCTTCAGTCCAAAGAAGACTCCTCCTCGCAAGTCTGTTTCGCTCTCCAATCTGCACACGGTGAGTTGATAAAATTCATTTTTCCCATAGGGGATTTTAGAAACACTTAAAATAAGGGCTGTGTTTCGTGTAGGCTTACTCTGGCATGACGTTTTGATAACCATGTAAATCTCTCTAGGACAAGGTGACTTTTATCAATATATTTGCCTGTATTTACACCTCAAATGAAATGCTAATGTGGCTATCATAAAGAACTACAAATGCCATGATGATCTGGACGAGACTGCCTAATCGAGGCAAAGGTAAGAATCTCTGGATGAACTATCTAATGTTAGCTAAATGTAGTGATGAATAAATAGGATACATTTCTTTAAATGGACAATTCTGTGAACAGTCTTGTGCAAGTTTTAAATTGAAACAATACCTGTTCGTGCAGGAGCTTGCAGGGATTTGTAGTTTTACATTGTCTACTTTGATGCTAATTAGCATTTTCAAATCTGAGAGTAAATAGAGCCAAATATATTGATAAAAGTCGCCTTGTCCGAGAAAGATTTACAAGGTTATCAAAACGTCACGCCAGCATAAGCCTACATAAAACACAGCCCTTATTTTAAGTGTTTCTAAAAATCCCCTAAGGAAAAAAATAAATGGTGGAAAACGATAGGAACCATTTCCCTGTTTGATCGCTAGGTTTTCTGGGTATTATGACACCTCCACTGTGGAGCTCTATGTGCATCTGTTGTGGTTATGTGAAGTTAGTCTGTGTAATCACCCCTTTCCATTTGTTGGGTCTAGTTGGATCGGTCTACAAGGGAAATAGAGTTGGGTCTTGAGTATGGAGCCCCTGTAATGAACATCGGGGGGCAAAGCTTGAAATTTGAAGAGGGACAATGGATTGCAGGTAACTGATCTTAATTTAAATGCAGTAGAAACTGCACTGTCTGCACTGCTACTGTAAGAAGTCTGATCTGTCTGATCACCACTGGTGTTTCCTTTTTGTTTTTCATGTGGTTCTTTTCTTGACCACAGAGTCCGGATGGAATGTATCAGGGAAGGAGGTGCAGAGACTAAAAAAGAGGAACTTACAGCTTGAAGAGGAGAACAACTTACTAAGGCTGAAGATTGACCTCCTGTTGGACATGGTGAGTTATCAGCCTGAAGCATCCCACTGAATACAGTTGCAGATTGAAAAAGGGACTCCCTTTTTTATACTCAGAGTCTCTATTCACATCATAAACAAGTACAACAGCCACTGTGGAGGAAAACAACTGCCCTTCGCCATCTGCGCCCATTTAACATAGCCCAGATTTACGTAGTTATTACTTAAACAAATAAAACGTTTTGGAATTTTCATAGGCTTAATATGTTGTTTTGATTATTGCTTGAACAGTCGCTAAGATTATATTTGTTTGTGATCGTTGCAAAATACCTATTTGGATGCAGCAATTGTTAGCTACGTTAGAATGCTAACGGTCATTGACATAGGCTGTAGCAAAGCTATTCAAAGAGCCATTTTACTGGTTGAAGTGTTTTTTAAGTACACTGAACAAAAATATAAATGCAATATGTAAAGTGTTGGTCCAATGCAGGGCCCAAATGCGGGTAGATTTTGGCATTGGCGTGTAAGATGTCTATTTCACCAGCCACGTTGGTGGGTGGTCAAATCAAATCACCCTGAGCTCGTCTGGTTTATTGCCCAGGGACTGAACATTAGCGATTTAATATAATCGGAAGCGGTGGATGGTGTGCACGCCTCCGAATACCTCTTCTCCACTGGTGGCGTCTTGGAGCAGCCTAATGGATAAGTTCAATTGGGGGGTATGAACAAAGGATCCAATTCGGGAATGTTGTATTTCTGGTCGGAATGCTGGTGAGTTACCGCCACTCTGACATCCTAAAGTTATTTCCGGCTGTATGTAATACCCAAAAAACGTTCTGGGCTAATTATGTAAGAAATAAAACACATACAAAAAAAATACTGTGAAAGATGCTTAAAAGTTGGTCTAATTTACTTATAATATAATAATAAAATGCCATTTAGCAGATGCTTTTATCCAAAGCGACTTACAGTCATGTGTGCATACATTTTTACGTATGGGTGGTCCCAGGGATCGAACCCACTACCCTGGCGTTACAAGCGCCATGCTGTAGCTCAATTGGTAGAGCATGGCGCTTGTAACGCCAGGGTAGTGGGTTCGATCCCCGGGACCACCCATACGTAAAAATGTATGCGCACATGACTGTAAGTCGCTTTGGATAAAAGCGTCTGCTAAATGGCATATTATTATTTATTATTATTATTATTCTCTACCAATTGAGCTACAGAACCACTTGAAACGAAAGTCTACTGAAGTGAGACTTTGGCCTTGTGTGTTTTGGCTATTTACATTGTTTTGTTCACAAGCTAGGTTGTTTTTCTATGTTTGAGTTTCAGCTGTTGGGAAGGGAAGACAATGCTTCTACTAGTCAGACTTAATCTCACAGGCATAAACATTACTTGAGTCAAGTTAGCTCGGTAACCTCCTGCCCTTAAAGGGACTGGTGACATTTTTTGTCTCATCTGTGATATTTTGGTTAAGACTCACATCACAAAACATGAAATTAAACAATATACCACACTACTTCTTACTAGTAATACATTTGTTTTAGAAACATTACAAAGCATGCTCATCAGTTTTTTTGGTGTTTTGTTGGTGTAATTTTAGCATAAAAAAATATTTTGGCTGGTAAGAAATTTGAGTGGCTGGTAGATTTTTAAAATTTACATGCCACAGTGGCTGGTGGACCAAAAAGTAAATTTTATGCCCTGGTCCCATGTTTCGTGTACTGAAATAAAAGATCCCAGAAATTTTCCATATGCACAAAAAGCTTATTTCTCTCAAATTTGGTGCACTAATTTGTTTACATTCCTGTTAGTGAGCATTTCTCCTTTGCCAAGATAATCCATCCACCTGACAGGTGTGGCATATGAAGAAGCTGATTAAACAGCATGATCATTGGTGTGTGGGTGTGTAGAGTCACCCACTCACATACAAGCTGCTGCTACTCTGTTTATCTTATATCCTGATGCCTAGTCACCTTACCCCTATACATATCTACAGTGAGGGAAAAAAAGTATTTGATCCCCTGCTGATTTTGTACGTTTGCCCACTGAAAAAGAAATGATCTGTCTATAATTTTAATGGTAGGTTTATTTGAACAGTGAGAGACAGAATAACAACAAAAAAATCAAGAAAAATGCATGTTTTTGTGCGTATGGAAAATTTCTGGGATCTTTTATTTCAGCTCATGAAACATGGGACCAACACTTTACATGTTGCATTTATATTTTTGTTCAGTGTAGATGCATAATACTTGCTATCAAGTCACAAAGCTGACTTCAAATGCCAACATCCATGTGAAAGTAACCAGTGCATAAAACAGCTGACTGTGAATGCAAACTATGCCAGATTAATCCTACACATGCATTTAAATAAAATGCATACATCAAAGGATTTAGCCTACTTAGGCCTACAATAGACAGGGACGCATGAAGAAAAACAAACTCGACCAAAGAATGACGAAAATCACGAAATACAAAAGGAAAACCTACACGTGCCTTTTTTAAAGGAAGCTAAGGCCCCGCCAATGATTCCGCACCCTGAATGGACAGCGGCTCAGTACAGGTAGGCATAGTGGAGCTCCGTGGCCTGGTGCTGAATGGACGGCGCCTCTGACTAGTAGCCAGATGTATCATTATTTAGTTTGTGGGCAGTTACACATTTTTTGTGGCGCAGTTAAGTAGCCTACCATGCGCCTATATTTAAATCATAACTGTCTCGCAGATCTTTAGAAATGGTAGGATCAATTGTAAATTGGCACTCCACATGAAAAAGGTTACCGACCCCCTGCTATAAGCTACTGTAAATGAAGCCACCCTTGTTGAACGGTGCATACAGTGTACTATGACTGCCATTGTCTCATGCGCTTCCCACTAATTTTTGCATTTGCCTGTCTGCATTATTCGCCAGGGAAGAGAAACATTCTGCGAATATTGAAGCATTGTATCAACAACGTGGCTCTGAGAATATTGAAACATTGTATCAACAAACAAGGCGGCTAGGAGAATATTGAAACATTTTTTATCAACAACGCAGCTCAGACAATATTCATTGTAACAGTCACCAACGAGGGGGTGGCTCGCGCAAATTTTTCCCGCGGCCAGCTTGTCTGATAGTGCCGCTACTGCGTAGGCAACACAATATCTGGGTGCTGATTTATTATTATTTTAAACCTGCCATACATCCACACTATAGCTAAATAACTTAGCAATATTTAATGACGTTTTGCCAGCCAGATTGATCTGTAAGAATATCACATTTTAATTTAGAAAGATGGACAAGCAAGACTGATAGTGTGAGGTGGGTAGGGATTAGGGATGCAGGCAGAGGATGATGATGATGATGATGAAGTAGGCCTACAGCAAGAAGTTCAAAAAAGTTAGTCCAACTAAGTAATCATTAATGAGTTTCAGTAGCTCAGTTAGGCCTATCATTCTGTCACTGCATGACAATGCACATTTGTTATAGCCTACATGTCATGTATTTTGGGGGCAATGCACTAAATGGCAAGTTGTTCAGTTGCCTATATTTTCATACCAGTACATGAAACCAAAATTGCACTAGCCTACTGGGCGAATGCAAAAAAATATAAATTAGGCATACAGCCATCAAAACCTAATTTTTAATAGCAATTAGAGATCTTTTATAGGAGCCTTTTAAAGTCCAGGTAGCAGATAATTGGACCCTAACAGGTATTTATGCAGTTGGTAACATATATTCCATATTTTGCTACATTACAGCCTTATTCTAAAATATATATATTTTTAAATTTACTCGTCATTCTACACACAATACCCCATAATGACAAAGCGAAACTGTTTTTTAGATTTTTTAGCAAATTTATAAAAAATAAAAAAACGGATACCTTATTTACATAAGTATTTAGACCCTTTGCTATGAGACTCAAAATTGAGCTCAGGTGCATCCTGTTACCATTGATCATCCTTGAGATGTTTCTACAACTTGATTGGAGTCCATCTGTGGTAAATTCAATTGATTGGACATGATTTGGAAAGGCACACACCTGTCTATATAAAGTCACACAGTTGACAGTGTATGTCAGCACAAAAACCAAGCCATGAGGTTAAATGAATTGTCTGTAGCGCTCTGAGACAGGATTGTGTCGAGGTACAGATCTGGGGAAGGGTACCAAAACATGTCTGCCGCATTGAAGGTCCTCAAGAACACAGTGGCCTCCATCATTCTTAAATGGAAGAAGTTTGGAACCACCAAGACCTTGGTCTTGGTCAGGGAGGTGACCAAGAACCCGATGGTCACTCTGACAGAGCTTGAGAGTTCCTCTGTAGAGATGGGAGAACCTTCCAGAAGGACAACCATCTCTGCAGCACTCCACCAATCAGGCCTTTATGGTAGTGTGGCCAGACCGAAGCCACTCCTCAGTAAAAGGCACATGACAGCCCACTTGGAGTTTGCCAAAACGCACCTAAAGGACTTTCAGACCATGAGAAACAAGATTATCTGGTCTGATGAAACCAAGATTGAACTCTTTGGCCTGAATGCCAAGCGTCACGTCTGGAGGAAACCTGGCACCATCCCTACGGTGAAGCATGGTGGTGGCAGCATCATGCTGTGGGGATGTTTTTAAGCGGCAGGGACTGGGAGACTAGTCAGGATTGAGGGGAAAGATGAACAGAGCAAAGTATAGAGAGAACCTTGACGAAAACCTGCTCCAGAGCGCTCAGGACCTCCAACTGGGGCGAAGGTTCACCTTCCAACAGGACAATATCCCTAAGCACACAGCCAAGACAACGCAGGATTGGCTTTAGGACAACATTACATTTACATTTTAGTCATTTAGCAGACGCTCTTATCCAGAGCGACTTACAGTTAGTGAATACATATTTTTTATTTATTTTTTATACTGGCCCCCCGTGGGAAACGAACCCACAACCCTGGCGTTGCAAACGCCATGCTCTATCAACTGAGCTACATCCCTGCCGGCCATTCCCTCCCCTACCCTGGACGACACTGGGCCAATTGTGCGCCGCCCATGAGTCTCCCGGTCGCGGCCGGATGCGTCAGAGCCTGGATTCGAACCAGGATCTCTAGTG